ATAAAAACTCTATACTTTTTGCTGTGAAATACACTCATTCATGGTATTGAAACTCTGACTCGTATAGAATGAGTAGTTTAATAGGCTTTTATAGCAAAAATTTATAGCGCGTCGACCGATATAATCACAGATCTGGACACCAAGGACATTCCGCTAGATTACCGGACCTGGACAGTCCTATTCTACCATACCATACGAGCATAATTCACTCGGTTTTAATTGCAATTAGCGTAAACACTTGCCGTTCTTGCATTGTGATTTGTTTGTGATGTTTATCTATACACTCTTTGAATTCGAGTAGAGTTTAAGGCAGCGTTCGTCAACTTTTAAAAAAGATTAAGCTTCTAAGATTTGTCGTACCAAGGATATGGTCCAAATTCTATTAGGCTGGCATTTTTGATTTGTTGATTGGAAATGAACGCCCAATCAATGCTGAGTCAGAATATGTAATTTATATTGTCCTGTGACCTCGGGTTCGGCCGCAGTGACCACTTTTACCGGGAATATTTTTCATAATAAATATGGACATGTGATATATCAAATCAATAGAGAATTTTTCACAGATTATGATAGTTATAATAGAATTATTGTAAAGTTTATATTTAAAGTGTTAAATGAAAATAAATGCTAAAATATTGAATATTTTTAATATGCTATGTTATTTATGGATATTCCTTCGAGCGGCCGTCCTGTTAAGTGATGGGGGAGTAACGAAGGTCTATGGGCTATGGCATGATGTTTCTTATATCTAATAATATTTTACTAAAAAATTAAATTTAATACAGAATTTGGTTTTATTAATTTAAAATACAAGCAATAATATCGACATTACTAGCGCTTATATCTCATACAAATGATAACTGAACTAAATTGTATACGTCCATTTGGACATTAATACTTTGCTATTTAAAAAATATATTTACTGTATTAATGAGTTGTCCACAAAGTACTCGCACTGGAATTAATTTGTAAACTAGATCAAATAAAAATAATTTAAAAATATACTTTTTTCGTTTTTTAAAGGTCTTCCTTTTCCCGAAGACACAGATATGTTACTGTAAAGGGCTGGTATGGGGACTGGTAACTGGCCTAGAGCAAAAACTATAAGTCCTAGAGGGAATTTAAGTACACCATTCGAAAGAGCGTTAAAAAATACGGATACATGCCCCTAATGAATTTTCTCTATAATGAATAGTTTTTGGCCAGGGAGGACGGGTATACCATTAAAACTGAGTTTTAAATAATTTTAGAAGCAAGAGGGATTGGAATATATCAAAGTTATGATATGGAAAATGCAGATAATTCAATTCTCTATCAATCCATAATTTTACAGATTTTTGCTAACCTTCAGCACTGGGAGGAAATGGCGATTTTATTGTAACAATATTACAAATCTCAGGGTAAATTTAATTAGTACGCTTCATAGATCTTAAAAAATAAACAAGGTCTTCGTTTCAATTTTTAAAATATCTCACCAAATAACTGTTCTAGAGCATCTCAAAGATGGTATTTTACCATTGATTGTGGCCATAGAAAAATATTTTGGATTTATTACTTGTAGGAGTATTTGTTTATGGCAGGAATCAATGGTAAAATACCATCTTTGAGATGNAAATCACTAATTTTAAGCGCAATTGACACTGCGCCAAATACGCTGACAGTAAGTCTAATCTCAATACAGTACCTTGCTTCAATGTACAATTTTTGACACAATTTTGACAATCTCGATATTTGTATTATTTAATGGCATTACTTTCTAATTGCTATAATAACATAACATTTAAAAATAAACCTGTTTATATAACATAGCATTTAAAAATAAAACTGTTTATATAACTGTTTATATAAATAATAATATGATTGTATAAATGTGCTTGTTGTCAACTTTGTACCGGACCTGGGCAGTCCTATTATACCATACCATACGAGTATAATTCACTCGGTTTTAATAGCAATTAACGTAAACACTTGCCGTTCTTGCATTGTCAGACATATCTCAGCAATAGTTACACTATAATATAGTGAATATAGTGACTATATTCATGCAAACATCTTGGTACAAATACAACAAATGGTTGAATACTGTATTTCTAATATAACCATCAAATGAAATGTCTTTTGATTAAGGGGTGACCTTTTTGCAAGTCTTATATCTGATGGC